AAGAATAGAAACCTCTTCCTGCTGTAGTACGAGGAGGCTGGACAGGTGCTGATATGATTCTTAGCAGTTAGCAGCTACTGGGTTACTGCATCCCCCCCCTGGCATGATGTTATTCCACTGAAGAGTTGTTCCAGTATCAGCAAATACACCTGTTAGTTTACTCATTTACTGCTGAGTGCATAGGAGCTGGTGTACGAGGGATCCCCAGTTCCCCACTTGCTTGCGAGGCGATAGCACAAGGGCGAGTTGCCAACACACCCTTGATAGCACGTACCTCTGACCCTTTGACCCTGAAAATATATTAGTTCCTCGGCTTGTCATTAGGGATGTGTATATCGAATATGACCCTTATAGCTCTTTCCGTTGTGGAATTATGCTGCAGATGCTAGTAGTTAGATAGTTATTAAGATTCTGACATACATAAGACAGACGGCACTGGCCATCCCACTCAGGCGACCCATCGATGTGGGTAATGCAGCTGGCAGGAATTCCTCGTTACTGCTTAAGAATTTGCTCTATCATCCGAAAGGAAACCTAAAAGCTTCAGTTTGATGTTGTTGATATCAGCGAGGCTCCGGGACCGAGAGCGCAAGTCCCTACGATATCTAATGATGTCCTCGACTACTGGCAGCTCCACCTGCATCCTCCCGTCACACCAGCACTGACCTTAAAAAAATAGCACCGATCTGGAAGAAAGCAAAATTGGTACTTTTAACAAAATCAACAACATGTCATCTGTGGAGGAATGCGAACCTATATCCTTTCTCTCTTCCCTAAAAAAGTTAAGCAAAACAACTTTTATTAAAAGGTTGGAGCTGCGCTAGCATGAAATTATTTACCAAGCATGAGACAAGGAGAGCAATGGTATATAAAATTTGTTCCTTCGAATATTCCGAACAGTGGACAAGACGTCACGAAGCAAAAATTTCTTTGAAAATTTGAGACTCCTAATTTTAACACTTGATAATTTTCCAAAATATCTTACTTTACAAACAGTACCAATGCTCATACTGACTTATATGACCGGTGTACCTGCTATCATCGTCTTGTGAGAGAAACTCGTAAGAGAACGATCCCCACAACACCACTTACCCGTTCTTACCGCCATGGTGGAGGAGAGAGTAGAGAGGATGTGGGAGAGTGAGGGACTAAAGTGGTGAGAGGGAGGCTATGAGACCGTGAAGGAGCAAAGGAAGTTAAACGAAAATTATGGGAGTGTGAGGGAGTACAAGGTGAACAACTAGGAGGTCGTAGGAAGGTAGTACGGTTTTGTGGAGTGAAGGAGTGAGGTGTTGAGAGAGAAGTCGTGGAGAGTGAGGGTGAGATTATGGGGAGTGAGAGAAAAGGACAGGGAGGTAAGAGGAGTTTGTGGAAGGACCAATAAACACAATTAATAGTAAGGAGACACGAATAGATGGAACAAATAAAAAATAAATAAGATCCATCCTCGTCTTAGTGATGTCAAAAGGGAAAATTCCTCTCGTTGTCCTTCAGCTGGTGGGCGATGGAGCTATTTTCAACATAGACGCCGTAGTACTTTTGTTCTTATGACGATATGGAAGTCAGTACCATATACTTCATGTATTTCGTAAGTGAGTAATAGATTCCTAGCACTCCACAACACACTCTCACCCTACAGCACTCCTAACACACCCTCACCCTACAACACTCCTAACACACCCTCACCATACAACACTCCTAACATACCCTCACCCTACAGCACTCCTAACACACCCTCACCCACCACCACATAACACACCCTCACCCACCACCACATAACACACCCTCACCCACCACCATATAACACACCCTCACCCACCACCATATAACACACCCTCAACCACCCATAACACACCCTCTAACACCCCTCACCATACAACCTCCTAACACACCCTCACCACAGCACCTAACACACCCTCATCCACACACTCACACCCTCGCCATACAACACTCTACTTACACCCTCACCATACACACACTCCTAACACACACAACCTCTAACACACCCCTCACCATACAACCTCCTAACACACCCTCACCATACAACCTCTTAACACACCCTCATCATACAACACTCTAACACCCTCACAACACTCCTAACCACCCTCACCCAACCTCCTAACACACCCTCACCACCAGCCTCTAACACACCTCACCATGCCTCTAACATACCCTCACCCTACAGCACTCTCTAACACACCCTCACCATACCTCCTCTCACCATACAACCCTAACACACACCATACAACACTCCTAACACACCCTCACCATACACTCCCTAACACACCCTCACCATACAGCACTCTTAACACACCCTCATCATACTCCTCCTACACACACCCCTCACCCACCACCACACCCCACCCACCACCCTGCACCCTCACCCACCACCATATAACACACCCTTACCCACCACCACATAACACACCCTCACCCACCACCACCACCACCACCCACCACCACATAACACACCCTCACCCACCACCACATAACACACCCTCACCCACCACCACCACCACCCTAGATAACACTTTCACCCAGTAATACTTCCTTAAACAAACCTTCAATAAAGGAAAAAATGGACATTGTTAAAGCTATAAGAGAAAGAGGAAGTATATTTTTTAGCTCAGAAACTGTGGGTTTTAAATCTGTAAGACCCTCAGGTCCCAGGATCGATCCCTGGTTCAGATGACGTCTCAAAGGTGTAAATAAATATTTTCTCCTCTGGGAGGGAGTATCACAGGCCCTGGGTCACAGTTGCTCACTTATACTAAGACACAGGTATTTGTTCACTGATCGCTGCTGAGGAGTTAAGATGGAAGTTATCACTGCTGGACTTCGGACTGTAATGATGTAAGATTCTCTCAGAACATCACTTTAAGTAATTTCCTATCAGAAAGAAAAACATTCGAATAAAAGATATATATAAGAGAGAGAGCACCTGAGCACTTTTACCTTAGCAACATCCAAAACGAAGTTCTGTTTGGTTAAAAACCATATTCTTAATATCGAAAAAAACAAACAAGAAAAACTAATCTATTATATTTTATAAAGTTTATATACTGAAATACACAGAGAAACAGATTTGTGTCGGAGTTATGGCTACTTATATGTGATTATATCATGATTATGAGAATTAACAGCATTGTAATTATTACTGTTATCATTAAAATAAATAACATGTGATGGAAAATATTATTATTAATTAGAAATAACATTGTTGTATTTATCATTACTTCAAAGATTTACAAAAAAGTAATCTTGGCTCTTCCTCTATTTGTAATTATTGATTAATGTAATGTTATGAAAATCATGAATTATTGTAATTAATTGTAATTAATTTTTCCCAAGTGCTGGAGGTATTTTTATTTAATCAAAAGTTTTCTTAATTTAATTCAATCTGAAAAATAAAGAATATAGTATCAAAATAGACAATAATAATTATAATAAATAATTTCTGTAATTGTCTATAATTTTTGTTTCAAGTTTGCTCGTTACTACTTCCTATGTATCGTAAATATGAATAATAAAGGCTATACATCTGAACCGAGTAATATCATAATGGAGTGTACAATAATTTCTCTTTAAAACAAAATAAAACATATTCTTTATCGACCTATTCCTTGTATATTAGCTGAGATCACATGTTTTCACCAATACACTCTCAATCAACTTTGGTTATGTCGTAGGGGGAGGAAAGTCACGCGAATTGTATACAACTTTTCTTAACTTTCCTTAACTCACTCTTTCATACAACATATGTAACAGGGTAAGCAATACGTGAAGGCCACTGGTTCAAATATTAGTTGAACATGTAGCGAGAATGTGTTTGGGCAGGTGTTAATTCTTTCATGTCGTCTTTGAATTTCTTATTTGGTATTACCTAATGGATCGTTGAATTCTATTTTAGGTTTGACTTTATCGGAAAATTAGAGGAAAGGAATAACGAAGGTGATTATATTGGTTGATTTTATTTAGTTATTCCTATTTTGCATTACACTACGAATATTCATTAATTTTAAAGAACCCAAGACCAAAAATTAAAGGTAAACCAGTCTGACTGGGTAAGAGATTTACCTACAGCATGACCGAGAGAAACAGTAGATAACTCCAAAGTGGAATTACTCTTAGAAAAGAAACGCGATTAAATTGACGTTTGAATTATTGTAGGGAAGATGCAAAAACTAGGGCAGCTAATTTTGAGCCTGGCTGAATGTGTGGTTGAATGACAGATGGAGACGGAGGAACGTGAAGTTAGCGTCAGAATAGAACTGATGTTAGGAAAGGCTGAAAATAGAAAACACTTATTGTTAGAGACTAGATATGTAAAACTGAACCTAGAATAAGAGATAGAGAAGCAATTCGCGTCAAACAAAGAAAAGAGACATTGAATTATGACTATAAAGTTAGACCAGGTGTAAAAGACACAAGGAAATATAAATATTAAGATGTGGCTGGAGGAAGATGAAGCCGGGAGGCAGCTGGGTGTTGGTGGCTGTACTGGGAGAGGGAGAGCTTCAAGGAGAAGTGAAATTGGAAAATTAGATACAAAGATAAAGTGGAGCTCAAACGGAGGTGGTAACAGTGGTAGAGAATGAAAGTAGGTGTGGAGTTTACGATGGAGATTGAAATGGAAATGCAAGTGAATCTGAAATGAGGAACTGGCAGAAAAGTTGGGCTTGCTAGGAAATGGGACGCCGGTAGTTGCTGAGCAAATGTTCAGAGTCGAGGAAGAGTAGGCTTATATTAATTTTATTTCACATATATATATATATATATATATATATATATATATATATATATATATATATATATATATATATATATATATATATATATATACATACACACAGTATGTACAGTATGTATGTACATTAACTGATAATAATTTCCATAAGGTATGGTTATTGCAAGTCGACGATTCATGGTTAACATACATTATCACCACCAGTACTACAGTATACTAGAGCAGTCTGTAACATCACCAGTTCACCACTACATCATTCCAGAAACACGCCATTGTCACTGTTACCTCCACCATCATTACCTCTATTACTATTACCTCCAGCATCGTTACCTCCAGCATCATTACCTCCACCATCATTACCTCCACCATCATTACCTCCACCAATATTACCTCCATTACTATTACCTCCAGCATCGTTACCTCCACCATCATTACCTCCACCAATATTACCTCCATTACTATTACCTCCAGCATCGTTACCTCCAGCATCACTACCTCCATCATCACTACCTCCACCATCATTACCTCCACCAATATTACCTCCATTACTATTACCTCCACCATCATTACCTCCACCATCACTACCTCCACCATCATTACCTCCACCATCATTACCTCCACCATCATTACCTCCACCATCACTACCTCCACCATTACTACCTCCACCATCATTACCTCCATCATCACTACCTCCACCATCATTACCTCCACCATCACTACCTCCACCATCACTACCTCCACTCTTACCTCCACCTCTCAAACCATCTCATTCTATTCCTTCACCACACACACACCTCTACCTCTTCCTTCCACACCTGCACCTACCATAGCTGTTTACACCCCACACCTGCATATCCATCTCCCATACCTGCACTTAGGACAACTCCTACACGCTATATGAACGTCCCACACATGTACCTCATACACCCCACATCTACATCTCCTACAGCTCTTATATCCCCACACCTGTAACGTCCAAGCTTTTACACCTCACACTCATTTATCCACATCCCACACCTGCACCTGCCACACATCCTACACTCCACACACCCACCTCCCACACCTGCAACTGTCACATATCCTACACTCAACACATGAACTTTCCACATCTGCCACATATCCTACACTCCACACCTGCACCATTCACACCTGCACCTGCCACATATCCTACACACCACACATGCACCTTCCACACCCGACACAGTTTATGGGGGATGTGGCGGAGGTCGGGGAAGGAGATGGCAGCGTCCCCAGAGTTAAACAGACACCAACAAATTACCTACGCACGGCTACAGATCATTTAATGACATTTACACGCTTTTTCTCTGTCGCTGCACGAGGGACACACGCTCGTCGGGGGAAAACGGCCCACCCACCCACCCACCTACTCACCCACCCTCACAGGCAGCAGTGAATAGGGAGGCGGGAGGGTGTGGCAGTGTCGGGGTGGTTAGGAGCACTGGGGTAACAGACTGCAGTGATGAGGGGAAGGTGAGACCCATTCCCGTTGGTTTGGTGACAGGTGGCATTGACGAGGGTGGTGGATGGGGTGGCGGTATCTATGAGACAGAGGGGGGAACAGTGACAGGGGTAACAAAAGGCAGTGACAGGGATGGCAGATGGTATGTCAGTGGTTAAGGAAAAGTGGGATTCCTGGGTGGGCGGTGGCTGACAGTGCTGAAGTGATAGGCTTGATAGACGGCTGGGGGGACAATGACGGGGCGATGGGTGGCAGTGAAAAGAAAGGGGCAGCAGGTGGCATAAAACAGTGATGGCAATGGTGGGTGGCAGTGAATGGTGCTTCGGACTGCATTATAGTGATGAATGTATGGTGGGTAACAGTGACAGTGAGCTGTAGTAACAGGGTGGCAGTTGGTATTTGGGTAGCAAGCAGCAGTGTAATGGGTGGAGGGCACCATTGACTGGGTAGTTGGTAGCAAAATGACAGGCGGCAGGTTGCAGTGATAGGGACAGTGACGGGTAGCAATGCTCGAGTGGCTGATGTAAACGACTCAAACATCGTAATACAGTGACGGAGGTGACTGATGGCATTGTCGTAGGCAGTGGGAGCAGTGACGGGAATAATAATGATAGTAAGGATAATAACAGTGACGGCATTAGAGGTAGGTAGTGACATGGTCGGCAAATATGACGGAAGAAACAGCAGTGACAGAAATGGGTGACAGTGACGTTGCGGCAGTTAGTAATAATTAGGGTGAGTAGTAATGATGGGAGGATGGTGGCAGTGACGGAGCAGTGAGAGGTAGTTGCAGGGTGCGGGGTGACAGTGACCGAGTTGCAGGGGGTCATTGACGAAATAGCAGGTGTCAAAGATAAGCTACTGGCAGTGACCAGACGTGGGAATTAGTGACACGACGGAGGTATAGACAGTGAAAGTGACGGTGCAGCGGGAAGCTCTGATAGATACTGGGTAACAGTGACTGGGTAGATGGCAGTGACTTAGGTGGAGAGTGGTAATGAAGGAGATAGTGGGTGGCAGGGGTGGCAGTGATAGGGGTGGATGGTAGTGGCAGGGTTGGGCGGCAGGCGGAGGTCAGCGGGGAGGGAGGCCAGTAGCGGCGGGACACCCCAACAAGAGCGGCGAAACAGAACGATGAATCGCACCAGTGACCGCTAAGAAATACGTGACGTGAGGAAATACTATAAAAGTAGCAAAATAAACTCGACAATATAGAGAGTTTGATGATATATTGACGTTAAAGTCGGAAATATTAACATAAAAATTCACAACTGTTTCTGGTTCTATCTGGGTTTTTTTTCGCCTTTTTCTATGGGGTAAAAAATAAAGTGCATATTTTATTGAGTGGGAAATAATTGTTTTCTCTTTAATTGCATTACGTGTTTGAACGCCTAGACCTAAGAGGCGTTAGACATCTTAAAGAATATATATTTATTAAAGTTTCTTTGAAGAGGAGCATTGGAAGTGTATATGTCGACGGTTCATATGACCAATAAATCTTGATGAAGCTCAGGTACAGAATCGGGCAGGTCTTGTTTAAACTCTCCGTTTTGTGGATACTTTCTTGAAAAAAATAAAAAAAATAAAATCCTTGAAAATGTTCAAAGGATAATATAGTTATAAAATCAGAGGAAGGGTAATACAGATGTCAAAAAATTACAATGAAATATTAAAGTCTAGGTCTAGCTGGTGAGATGAATTCACTCTTTTTTAATAAGTTTCTTGGAAAGACTTACTCGAACATTCGTATTTGTTTAGAAAAATTATATTTAAATAAATACTTTTCTTGTATTTCTAATGGTCATCGTGTATCCCATGAAGATAATGTTAGAATATTCATAAGGGTGAATTATATCGAGGACTCATGCAAAATATATTAACAATTGTACTAAAAAGGATTATAATGATAGACAAAAATATTCGGAAGAAAACTATCTTAAGATTAATAAATACATTGAATTGCAATAAGTTAAACCCGAGGATCGTTAATAGAACACCTGCTAATCCCATATAAACGACAAATCATATTAAAAACGGCACAACAATAAAACAAATGAAGAGAGGTAAATAAAGTCGAGAAAAACGTAAAATGTGAAGCGAATCAACAGGTAGGTGACTAGTGTGACGGTGAGGTATAAATATTACAACAACAACTGGTTCACCTTCACGAGCACAGCCAGCACACAGACACTCGTGCCTGTGATTGAATGTGATCACACACACACACACACACACACACACACACACACACACACACACGAGTGGAAGATAAAATGTACAGTACCTACCCCTTAAAAGAAATCTGCTTTTAACATGTAAAATATTTCAAAGGCAGCTTTTGCTTCAATATTTGTACAACATAAAGTCGATGTTCTTACTAAGATTATTAATAACTTTTCACTCGTATCAAAACGGGATACAGCAAAACCATTTTGATTATAAACAACTCTTGGAGGTGTGTTCATGTAAACGAGAGTAATAAATTGCGTGAGATATGACGCATGGAGTTAATATTTGCTTAGCATTAGTCTCAATTAGAATGTATATTTATACACATCGAGGAATTCGTCTTTATAAACCACATAAAACTCAAGATGAATTGAGATTAAATAATGTGTAAGCATTTTGAGATTTATGACTGAAGACACATTGAAAAATATATCTATGAACTATATGAAGTTAAGCTTTCTGACTGATACTAAAAACACTTTACTGAAGAGAATTACTTAAAATTCTAAGATATTTATGACTGGTCTTTGTTATACCTTAAAGGGACCTGTACTACCAGGATTATTAAGCATCGTTCATTAGGCTTAGTTTCCAGAACATACTGTAGATAAGATGTACATTGTTTTGTTATTCTTGTATTTACACCATATTAACTGAAATTTAAAGAAATTCCTAACTGAAGACACTGGATGTATTCTTGGGAATTTATGACAATCTTCGTTAAAACATAAATTTATCATGGCATACATAATAACATTCAAAATTATATTAATCTTACGACGTTGCTGATGATATAAAATTACTGAAGACACGTTCGTCAATACTCTTAAAAAATAATGACTAGAGCCAGTAAGTATAAAATTCTTTATTATATAAATTCTTACAGGGGTTAAGATTCTAAGAAATTTATGACATGAACTACATTGGTCAAACTCCTGTAATTATCACACCTGTTATAATATTGTCAAAACTATAAGAGATTACAAGCGATTTCATTGGGAAAGATTTTATGGAGCATTGTGTCAAAATTGTAATTGACGCTTGCAGCTGTTACTGTTAAAATTCTGAATTCAATAAAATTGCATAATTGCCAGAACTGATTCTTCCTTAATTCTTACTCTCTTTGTCTAATGTGTTGTCTTGATTATGCTCATAGAGAAAGTAGTTAGTGAAGTGTAGTTATACATTATGTCAAAAAATATCACTGCGTAAATTCCAAAATATTTTCAAGACACAACAGTCATTATCCAAGATTTTTTTGATTTATGTGAGATTGGTTTGGTCAGCTTGTTAGTAAATAATGTACGTCTATGATCATCAATTTATTTCTTTATGATTATTATTTTTTTGAAACTGACTTTTTCTGTAGGTTGTTACCGATTTTAATAGACTGTTACTCAGTTACCAGTCTTAAACTATAATAATACTTATCATACTTTGGACTATGAACTCTAAGATTGGGGGAATTATTTTGGTAAAATCATATGTAAAATTGTAGAATTAATAACTTGATTTATGACTGTAACCAAATTTGTCTTAAGACATTCATAAATAAAGCTTTCATTGTTTTAACCTTCAACGACTAGGGTTACACATAAGTATTCACTATGCTTATTGTCTACAACACAACCTCTTGAATTCAGCTTATTTCGGGGTCCCCTGAATAAAGTTACATTGATTTAAAATTTCAATATATTCAAGCTTTAAATCTATTTGGGTAAGAAATAAATCTTCTGTTCCTATGCTGTACCTTCAGTGTAACAGAACGTAACAGTTGGGAAATATTATTTTAGTACATTACAAAATTCGAGAATTTGTATATTTAGTGTTTTATAACTTTGTTGACATAATTTCTTAAGTCTGAAGATATCAATACCAGTGAGAACAACAATATAGCAAGTTTCACTGTTTTTAGACATTCCTGTGTGTGTTATTAAAACCTCTAATGGCTTTGTACACATTTATGAATATCATTGAGAATAATTTTTACTCTGAATACTGAAATATCTAAAACAAGTTCAAGTTAAAATGTATGAAAGTATTGGTAAAGCTAGAAGTTGTTAACAAGTGAAACCACGTTGGCTAAAATTCTAAAAAATGATGATTGACGCCAGATGGGTAGAAAGTCTAAGAATATTATTATTTTTTCCAATTTTAGAAACAACTGACTGAAACCACTTTGGTAAAATCTCTAAGAATTGTATGACTGACGGTACATTGGTTAAAATTCTGAAGGCAATAATACTGAGTCCACATTCATACAGTTTACAAAAAATAAAAGTGTTTTACTGAAGCTGTTGTTTTAATACATAAACTTGCATCAACAGCAAAGGTTTCCGTCTCAGTTGCTGTAGTGGATTGTAAGTATTCAAACATATGGAAAAAGTCCATTCGATTGTTGACAAAGCA